TGTATATTGATTTTCATTCAATTCCAGAAGGTCTTTAATTTCTTTATTGACTCATTTCTCATTCAGTAGAAAGTTGTTCACTTTCCATGAGTTCAAAAGCTTTCTGTTGTTTCTATTGTTGTTGATATCCTGCTTTAATCAGATGGGATGCAGGGTGTTATTTCAATTTTCTTGTATAGCTTTATGTCTCATTGCTTTATGTCTGAGTATGTGGCCAATTTCAGAGAACATTCCATGAGGTGCAGGGGAGAAGATATATTCTTTTGTCTGGGTGTGAAATGTTCTGTAAATATCTGTTAAGTCCACTTGGTTTATAGTCAGTTAGCTCTAGCATTTGTCTGTTTAGTATTTTTCTGGATAACCTATATATTGGTGAAAGTGGGGTATTGAAGTCTCCCCCATCAGTGTGTGAGGGTCAATGTGTGATTTCAGCTATAGTAATGTTTCTTTTATGAACCTGGGGGCCCTTGTATTCGTGACATTGATGTTAAAAATTGCAATGTCAGCCGGGCAGTGGCAGCACATGCCTTTAATTCCAATATTTGGGAAGCAAAGGCAGGCAGATCTCTGTGAATTTGAGGCCAGCCTGGTCTACTAAGCGACTTCCAGGACCGCCAGAGCTGTTACACAGAGAAACCCTGTCTAGAAAACCAAAGGCAAAACAAAAAAAGAAAAAAGAAAAGAAAAGAATTGCAATGTCCTCTTGGTGGATTTTTCCTTTGATGAGTATATAGTGTCTTTCCCTATCTCTTCTGATTAGTTTTGGTTTGAAGTCTATTTTGTCAGATATCAAAATTACTACACCAGCCTTTTCTTAGGTCCATTTGCTTGGAAAATCTCTTTCCATCCTTTTACTCTGAGGTTATGTCTATCCTTAATATTAAGGTGTGTTTCTGGAAGCAGCAGAAGGATGGATCCTGTTTTTCATCCATTCTGTTAGTTTATGTCATTTTATTAGGGAATTCAGACTATTGGCACTGAAAAATCTCAATAAGCATTTTTTTTTGTGAATCCCTCTTATTCTGTCATTGCGATGGTGGTGGTGATGGTGGTAGTGGCATGGGGGGTAGGTGTTGTGTAATTCCTCTTTTGATTTGCTGGTCTGGTATTATTTATACCTTGTATTTTCTTGGATATAGTTAACCTCTTAATGATGGAGTTTTCATTCCAGGACATTCTTAGGACTAAGTTTATAGGTAGATAATGCTGAAATTGGTTTTGTCATGCAATGTCTTATTTTCTTTATCTATTGTGATTGAAAGTTTTGCCAGGCATAGTAGTCTGGGCTAGTGTTTGTGGTCTCTTACAGTCTGTAGAACATCTGCCCAGGCCCTTATGGCTTTTAGAGTCTCCATTGAGAAACCAGGTATAATTCTAATAGGTCTGCCTTCATATGTTACTTGGTCCTTTTCTCTTGCAGGTTTTTAGTGTTATTTCTTTGCTTTGTACATTTAATGTTTTGATTATGTACTACGGAGAATTTCTTTTCTCACCCAGTCTATATAGTGTTCTGTATGCTTCTTGTACCTTACAGTGTGAACTCTTTCATGTTTAATATACTAGAGTGGTAGCTAAAGGATATCTTACATTCACTGCATTCACAAAGCCTTTCTCCCATGCAACTTCTCCAATGACTAGCAAGAGTAAAGCACTTGCTAAAGGACTTCCCACATCCAGTGTACTCATAAGGCCTGTCTCCAGCGTGAACCCTTTCATTTATGATGAGAATGGATTTGTTGTTAAATAATTTTCCACATTTATCACACTCATGAGATCTTACACCATTATGAATTCTCTGGTGTTAGAAGAGGTGGGACTTCTATGTGAAAAATTTCCCACATTTGTTACACTCATGAGGTCATTTTCTAGTATGAACTATCTGGTGTTTAGTAAGTAACCGCTTTGCCAAACGTTGGTCTAAACATGAGAAATCCTATGAAAGAAGGGGAGGAAGGATTATAGGGGACAGAAGGATCAAGAGCACCACAATAACATGACCCACAGAATCAACTAACCAGGGCTCAAAGGGGCTCACAGAGACTGAAGTGACCATCAGGGAGCCTGTATGGGTCTGACCTAGGTCCTTTCCAAATATGTTACAGCTATTAGTTTGGTGGTTTTATTGGACTCCTAATGGTGGGAGTGGGGTATCTCTGACTCTTTTGCCTGCTTTGGGGACCCTTTTTCTCATACTGGATTGCCTTGTCCAGCCTTGATATGAGAGTATGTACCTAATCTTATTGTAACATGTTATGCCATGTTTGGTTAATATTGCTGAGAAGCCTACTCTTTTCTGATGGGAACTGGAGGAGGAGTAGATCTAGGGGAGAGAGTAAGTTGGGGAGGGTCTGGGAGGAGAGGAAGGAGGGGGAATGTGAAGTGGAATAAAATATATGAGAGAAGAATAAATAAAAATAATAGAAAATAAAAGTAGCAGCTTTAGACAAAGGATTTCCCAATTCACTTCACTCTTAAGCTCCATGTGAATTCTCTATCTAAAGATGTCATACTTCCTACTAAATAATCTTCCATATTCGTAACATTGATGGGGTCTTACTCCCATGTGAACTTCGTTGTGGGTAATGAGACTAGGCCTTTGCTTGGAGGATTTGATGCATTTTCCATATTCATATAGCTTTTCTGAAGTATGAATTCTTGGATAACCATTGAGGCTACAGCTTGTACTGTAACATCTGTGGTGGTATTGTGTTCCCCGAAATTATGTGCACGCTAATAAACTTATCTGGGTTCAGAGAACAGAACGGCCACAACATGAAACATAGAGGCAGTGGTAGCACATGCCTTTAATCCTAGCATTCCAGAGGCAGAGATCTACCTGGATCTCTGTGTGATACAGCCAAGCATGGTGACTCACTCCTTTAATGCCACAAAGTGAGCCTTTAATCCTAGGGAGTGATGGTAGAAAGTAGAAAGGTAATATAAGGCGTAGAGACCAGAAACTAGAAGCTTTTGGCCTGGTTAAGCTTTTAGGTTTTTGAGAGGCAGTTCAGCTGAGATTCATACTGGAAGAAGCTTCCAGTCTGAGGAAACAAAATCAGCTGAGGAATTGGCGAGGTGAGATAGCTGTAGCTTGTTCTGCTTCTCTGATCTTTCAGCGCTCACCCAATACCTGGCTTCAGGTTTGTTTTTATTAATAAGACCTGTTAAGATTCATGCTACAAACATCTTTTACATCTTTACATACTCTTCCAAGTTGTAATGACTCTTTCACAGTGGAAAATGCCAGTGCTCTCTCACATGTGTTATTGGACTTCATCCCTGTATGAGTAACTTGTCAGAAAAGTTCTGAGCTGAGGAGGAAGTCATTCCCAGCCTCTCTGCTAGATGACTTCTCAGACACTTGGAATCTGCAACTGTTCAGCAAAGAGTCCTTGTCCACCTTGCTTCTGAAGTTCTTTTCTCAAATCTGCTGCATTTAGTGTTGAAGATATGTAGTGAACTGTAATTGTTTCCCAAATGTTCCATCAATGTGTAGTTCCAGCCCATGATGCTGGTTCTCAGCCAAGTATAAAATTTCTCTTGAGACTAAGCTACATTTCACACAAGGAGGGCTTCCTATGAAGAATAACCCTTGAGAGATCCAAACTGTCACGATGTGCAGAAATATTCTGCCTCCCCCCTGCCCCCCCAAAAAAATGTGGTCTCTTCCACCTCTGTTCCATGCCAATCACATGAACGGAAATGCTTGTTAATTATCTGATACATTTTGTGGGAGAAGATAGCCCACAGGAAAATGTGTGACTGATAAACAGAAGAACTGAGTACATGAAACTGTTTACAGAATCAGGGATCTGGGTTCTGATTCAGGATGGAGTTGCCCAGAAACTTTTGCTTTATTCAAGAAATAGAGCCATGGAATACAAAAACGGGAATAGGGTCTACAGCGTATGTTTACTGGATCAATACATGTTACTGGTCAGCAGGATATTGTCTTCTACTGACATATTCTGGGCCCAAGAAAATTTGACAACAGAACAGCTGCCCTTCAAGGACTGTATTTGTATGTAGCAAAGGAAACAATCGCCACAGTAAAAAGACTGCCTACAGAGTTGGGGACTGTGAGAAACCACTGGAGACTTCTAAAAGTCTTCAAATCTCCACACTGAATGACAGGAACTTACCATTAAGCCTATACAACCTTCATCTGCAGTTCCCTAGAACCCCAAATCTACTCTTGTAACCATAGGCTTTGCCGTTTATGGGTGTTTTGTGTAACAAAATCACACAATAGGTGTCTAGTTTCTTACACTCAGTACAATGTTTTCACTATGAACACACATATGTGGAGTATACATCAGTACTTCACCCCCTTAACTACTGAGAAATATTCCATCATATGGATAAGTTGGAGTTTGTTCATAGCCCAGTCTTACTGTGACCACCTCCCAAGTCCTGGGACTACAGGCATATGCTCTCATGCCTGGCTATATAATGCTGTTTTAAACACGTACAAATTTTTGTATGGACATATATATGTAGGAATAGATATGCTGGCTCATGTAGTAACTCAGTGTTCATAGGAATGACTGACTAGACTGTTTTCCAAAGCAATTGCACTCAGAATGGCAATGAATGGGAACCAACACAAAACTGTTGGGTTGTACTTAACAATGTACCTACAATGTACTAACTAAAATGTACAATGCACTAATAATTGTACTTAAACACTGATGGGTTTTTTTTGGTGATATTTTGTTTTGTTGCTTGATTCTCCAGCATGAACTTTGTACATGACAATATTGTGTTGAAAGGTCAAAAGATTGGACCTATATGAGACTTGCCTCTTCTGTCTTCCCACAGCTCTTGGCTACTCACAGCCTACTGCATATGTTTACTGGATATATAGCTCCTCAGTTCCCTCATTAGAGCTGAGAACCAACTGAGGTTCTCAATGTCTTAATCTAGTGCTATATTTATTAAGATATCCTCAGTGCCTTCATGTGTAACATTGAGATAAATGACTGGATCTGATAGAAACATCCCTTAGAAAAGTTTTTTTAATAAAAAATATTTTGCTATCACAGTCAAGAAGGCTCCCTCAAATAAAGGAATAAGCTTTATTTCTGGTCTGAAGCCAAAGAAGAAAATCCTTGACAATTTGTCATCGTTAATGAACTCAGGTTGTTTTCTATATTCTACTTAAGTTATAATTATTCGTGGACTATCACAGCTAAGAAACAAGGTTCTCTGGAATTAAGTCCTGTTCATGTTCTTAGTCATCTGTGATCTGGTCTTAGTCTGGTCTCCACATTGTCTAGCACATGCTACAGCTTTCTTCTGTTCTCATAGATTCTCCTCTTCTTCATCTTTCTCCATGCTGTCATGACTCTCCACGTTGTCATGACTCTCCACTTGATCAGCATAATTTGAACTCTCCAATGGATTCTCTGTGGGTAGATTTTGCTCTCCCTTCATTTTCTTCTTCAAAATGTGTTCCCTTCTTTTTGTTCTAATAACTGAAATATAGAAACAATATTATCAAGGTTGGAGTAATGGGAGGATAGATATGAAGACAAAGCAGTGAGGGGGGAATCATAGAAAAAAATAAAGCCATTATCAGAGAATAATAAATGTTACTGATCTAAGAAGGATAGTAAAATTTTTAAGATTTTACTTTGGTTTTTGGTTTGGTTTGGTTTAGTTTTTTGAAACAAGCTCTTGCTGGCTTTGAATTCACCTTCCTGCTACCACTTCACAAGCACTCTGAATTCATGTGTGAAACACCAACCCTCAGCTGAAATTTGAATTTTAAAATTATTACATTCTATGTTCAACCCTTTAAAATACACAGTAACCCAATGTAATAAAAGGACATTAGAAAATATTTTCCACAGCTTACAAAGGTGGTCAGCCTCAGTAGGCAGCAATCATGACTTCTGCTCTTAGTCTCTGCCTCTTTTGGGTTGGGCACATCTAGAATTGTTTAAGATGGAAGTGGAGGATGTTGCTGCATTGGGACCAGACACTGAGCTTTACATGTTGAACCTGAAAGCTTTTACAAAATCAAGCATATGAAGTATTTATGGCATCTTCTCCTCACAATGACATGTAGGCATCTATAATATGCCTGTGTCTCAGATAGGGTCCTTCCACCGGGAGAAATGATTTTTGTTGTATGGACCTGGAACCCATTTCTACACCAGCCTGAGGCAAATGAAATGTCTGCTTGTAGATGTTCTAGATACAGGAACAATGCACCAATATGTTCAAGGGAAAGTTTCATTCAAAACAAAGTTGTTGTTGTTTTTTTCTAAACACTGTCATGGATTCTTGGAATTGGCCCACATTGAGGATCAAGCAACTAGACAGCTACCCATTGATCGCTGGGGTGTGATGAGAATGCTTCATTTCTACATCATGAACATCCATCTTCCTTAACTCAGACTCCATTTGATCCCAGTTATATTCTTTTGAAAAACTAAGCCACCATTCATTCCCATCCTTGATCTGACAGGACAAAGTACCTGAACCGATAAACTTCCCCAGTTCCTCATTCTCTGGATGTGGTTCATCAGTCTCAGCCTGGACATCACCTTCAGAGACCTCCTTTTCATCTAAAAGTGGAATCTCGACATTTTCATACAATGTTGCAAGCTGCTGTTTTTCCTCAGCTTTTACCAGCCGACTGAAGAAGCATAGAGATGAATGTTAGGGCAGATTTTTTTTTAGAGTGAATCATCCTGCTTTATATTGAAGGTTTTAAAGTTTTATTTATATGTGTGTTTATAATGTGGAGGGGAGGTGGTGTCAGGTGCCTGTGAAGACCAGGGAGGAGAACATCAGATTCCCTAGATCTGAAGTTACAAGCAGTTGTGAGCACCCAATGAGGATACTGGAAACTAAACCTCAGTCCTCTGCAAGAACCTAGAGTGCTCTTAACCCTCAGTCATCACTACAGCCAAGATCATAGAATTTTTTGACTCAAGAGGAATTGCTAATACATGTTGGTAGATGGAGAACAGAGGCAGAAAAATACATTTATGTGAGACTTCAAATTTCTTATCTGGCCTAGTTGATTCATGTCAACAAATACTCTGACAGTCCCAAACCTCATAACTAAAGCAGGGCTGGATGTGAGTGACATACTTGACTAGCTACAAAATTCAAGGAATTTACAACAGAAATTACTATCAATGCAATATGATATAAAACAAAATTAATGCTGAAAAAGCCACAATGAACAAAATGTCAAGATTTTAAATAAATGTAGGATATTACTGATAGTTCCCTTTCCAGGGCCTCTAAAACCCTGGCTTAGCCCAGTATAGATCCTGTACTTAATTGGAGCTAAGCAGACAGGTTGGCCAGTAAAGAGCTTGTCATACAAGGCTGAGGACCTGAGTTCAATCCCCAATACCCACATAAAAAGTCAGATGTGATGGTACATACTTGTAACCCAACACTGAGCAGGCAGAGACAGGCATATTACTACAGCTCATTGGCCGCCCATCTAACCTAATTGGTAAATTCTAGATCCCAGAAGATCTCAAATACTAGATGGATTGCTCAGACTGGGAGGAGGGGACTGGACCTACCTGGACTGAATCTACCAGGTTGAGCTGAAGCCCCAAGGGAGTCTTTGCCCTGGAGGAGATGGGAATGGGGGGTAGACTGGGGGGAAGGTGGGGGGGTGAGGACAAGGGAATCTGTGGCTGATATGTAAAATTAAATTATAAAATAAAAAAAAATTTAATTAAGTTTCTTTTTTATAAATGTCTTCATTTGCTATAGTCAGGTGGCCACCAACTTTAAAGGAAGTTTGTACTTTCTTTGGCTGTTTCGGGAGGATGTAATAGAATTATAGACTGAATCAGAATGTGGTCTAAATAGCATGATGCCACTTTGGCTTAATAGTTTCAAAATGACCACATCACTTTGAAAAAGCTCCAACCAATGTGATTAAAGTATGTGGTGTGAAACTCTCAATGAAGAAATAAAAACATTGTAAATATTTTTAAAAGATAAGAGTTTCACCCCAGCTGGGTGGTGGTGGCACACGCCTTTAATCCCAGCACTCGGGAGGCAGAGCCAGGAGGATCTCTGTGAGTTCGAGGCCAGCCTGGTCTACAGAGTGAGATCCAGGACAGGAACCAAAACTACACGGAGGGACCCTGTCTCAGAAAAAAAAAAAAGAGTTTCACCCCAATATCTAAATTCTAAAAGCCAGTCAGTCAGCCAAGTGACTGTCACCCTAGCCTGAGGACCTCAGTTAAATCTCAAGGACCCACATAAAAAGCCACGTGTGTTGGTACACACCTGTAACCCCAACACTGGGGAGGTTCTGATATTTCAGTTCCACTAAATTTTAATCTGGCCTACTTTTCTTCTCCTTCTCCTCTTCCTCTTCCTCCTCCTCCTTCCATAGCATAACCAACAATCCACACTTTGGAATACACTGGTCTGGAAATGTAGTATGATCATAATAATTTAGTAATTAGAAGAAATGTCATCGTCATCATCATCATCACCAACCTCTGACACTAAATAATTTCCTTGTGTATTTCCTGCCTTATTGGTTAAGAATGGGGGAGGCATATACTTACTGTATCATATAGGAGATTATGAGTCCACATATCAGGGCAACAGCAAAGGCTATACTTGAAACTGAAATTACATGAACAAGACCAGGTCTACGTGGAATTATTACTAAAAATGGAAAGAAAAGAAGTTTGTTACAAAATAAAAAGGAAACAAACACTAAATTGCCAATACTTTTACAAATGGCATCCCTAATTTTGAAAAATACTGAGGTTAGCCATCTCCCATTTAGGGCTGACTGCTCCCAAGTCTCTCAGTCTCTGTATGTTGTCCAGTTGTGGGTCCCCATGTTAATTCCAAGCTATCACAAGAAACCTCTCTGATAAGAGTTAAGTGGTGCTCTAATCGATGGGTAGAGTAGTATATCATTTTATTGCTGTTCCGTTAGCAGAATAACAGTAGCAGGTTTTCCACTGGGACTCATGACCTATTAAGTATCTGGTCCTTGGCCACATGAGCAGTGTCAAGTATGGCTCCATCTCACGGAGTGGAACTTAAATCCAATCAAAAGGTAGTTGGTTACTCCCATGATATTTCTGCCACTATTACACCAACATATCTTGCAAGTACGTCACTGTTACAAGTAGTATTGTAGTTATTGTAGCTGAGTGATACTAATGATTATGCAGAAGAGGAGGCAGTAAGATTGTAAAAGGCAAAAGTGGTGGATGACCCACAGAAACAAGCCTTTTCCAGACACAATAGAGTTGATACACATATGAACTCACAGAGACTATAACTGCAGGTACAAGACCTACCAAAGTTTAAACCAGATAAAAATCTCAGGAAATGAGAATAGGAAGTGGACACAAAGTCCCATCCCTATCCAAGAATTTATTTGTGATTGATACTTCCTGGGAGAGGAAAATCAGCTCTCTCCTATGAAGTGTCACTGTGTATATCAACCACACTCCAAGGCAGGCCCCATGCCCAGGAGAAGCTGGCCAAAACAAGACATAATCCATGCGGTTCTTTTTAATGTGCTTTTTGTTTAGGTATTATTTGTCTTATCTGGTTTTGTTTTGTTGTTGTTGATAGTTTTGATTTTCAGTTTTAGTTTTGGGGGCTTGGAATATTTTTAGAGAAAGAGATTGTAACGTTGGGTGGGTACAGAGATGGGGAGGATCTAGGAAGAGTTGGGAGGAAGTTTGATATATGATCAAAATATATTGTGTAATTTTTAGTTAAAAATTAATTTTTAACAAATTCCGAGGCTAGCTCTGTATCACATTTGCAGTCAAAGACCCCTCTCTTTCTCTGTCTCTCTCTGTCTCTGTCTCTGTCTCTCTCTCTTTCTCTCTCTCTCTCTCTCTCTCTCTCT